TGTACATTATTGTTGCTCCTCTATGCCCTGCCTTTCTGAAACGCGTCGATTTTTACAAAGCTCATCGGTCTGAAAAGCGAGGTGTGCTCTGATTGGCCAGCTATCCAGTGCGTTGTGATTGGCTGAATACCTCAAGCGTGTGACGGAAATGTTACGGGATCATTGTGACCCACTGTCCTTATTGAATGGAATCTCTGATGCACTGTCAACTATAGCATGTAGGCGCCCTGAATGTCAAACTCAGCAGTAGTTGATGATGATAAAGTGCGTCTCTCTCCGATCCCACCGCCCATCTTTCTTACTCTTCTTCTATATGTTTTGACAAGCCATAGAATTATGGCTATTGTTCTTGCTCGGTCTCTCTCTTCTCTCATTCTCTTCCCCATCACTCTCTCTGGCTTTCCCTGTTTGTCTCATTACTATTCCATAGCATAGGTTTGTCTGTTTTAATTGCTGTTTTCACTGATAGAACACAATCCAAAAACAATTAAGTAAAATGCATTGTCATCCCTGCTGCTGACATTGTTCTGTCATTCATTCCCAGGACAAAAAAAAAAAAAAAAAAAAAAAAAGTAGTTTTTTTATTTATTTTTTTTCAGAAATACTGCACATTTACAGTTTTCTCCTAAATAAATTCTGGTAAATACTCCTTTAAAAAGTGTTTTTTGATTATAATTTTATTATTAGTAGACTAGAACACGTGGATATGTTGTCATTCTTACACTATAATACTGAACTTTGATTTCAGTGATTTGGACTATGAGATGGACACTTGCTTCTTGCACTCTATGTTGCACTTTACTTTTGCTTTAAAAAGAGGATTTCATAGAAATTTAGATTTCGTTTGGTTTTATAAAATATAGTTTAATAAAATATTCTTAAGTAAAATATATTTTTTTTGCGGGAAATTAATCGTTTAGAGTAATCGATAAATTAGTCGGAGATTAATCGAAATAAAAATAGTCGTTAGTGGCAGCCCTAAAATACGCTGATGTTCAATTGTATTTTAATTAATATTGTGATCAGTAGCATTGTATTTGGTATCATACTTTTATATTCGGTTTCTTTTAGCGAAAAATTGCAGGCGGATTTGTAGTTAAAATGTAAAAAATTACAATTGGCCTTCCTCTCTTAAGGTTCAATAGTTTTTGAAAATGTATATCATGGATAATGTGTGTGGTGTGCTGTAGTGTAGTCAGCTTTGTTGATTTACAATGTGCATTATTTTTATTTATTTGTTTAGATGCATCACCAGCATGTGTTCCTGTATAAATGTGGTGTAACTGTATGTTGTTTATGGTTGCCATGCAGTGTAACATCTTGCCACATTAATATTGAATTGAACTGATGTGCATTCACAGATGTGCTTATTTTTTCTTTAGTCTTTATATTTAGGCTATATTATTGATACCTGATGTATCGATTTGTTATGAATAATCTTGTTTTTTGGTTTGAGTTCACCAAGTTACAGATAAAATAGGTCAGTAATCAAGAAAGATGAAGTATGTTTTAATTACAAGGCATTTAATTGGTGCTTTTATTATTGGATTATTATTAAAAATATGATTCATGTATTTATATGAAAAGTTGGGGTTGAATTTACAGGAAGTACAACTATATTGAGATCCGATTTAAGTTTGTAGTCATACCACCTACCCAATGCACCAGTATGTTTCCTCAAATTTGATATATATGCATTGCATGCACAAGCCCATTTCAGAGTCCGGGCAAGTTTTTTGTCGTTCTGCAGAGACTGTCCTTCAGTTTTGACAGGCTGTTTTTTTCCTTATCTCTCTTTCACACGTCTCGCTCTGACTCGAGTACTCACGGCAGTGGTGTGGAGGCGAGGGGTTCACTCAGATGCTTGTTTTGCCTCATGAAAGCATTACGATCCTGTGATTGATGAATCTCTTTGTGCTCTCACAGAACGGGGACGTGTGCATCTCCATTCTGCATCCTCCAGTAGATGATCCACAGAGCGGAGAGCTTCCCTCAGAGAGGTGGAACCCCACACAGAACGTCAGGTAAGAAGTAACCTCTAACAGCCAGACCTTTTTGATTATCAGCGTATAGTCTAGTCCACTTTGCAGCTTGTTCTGACCACTTTCCACAGAGAAATGATTTGTTTTCAAATGAATGTACCCTCAGGGATACACAGGCAGTAGCTCTTTAGCAGTTTTCCTGATAACAGAATTATAGGAAGAGTGACCAGTCTGGTTTTGTGTTCATGAGTTTCCTGTTGCCTGCCTTTATGGAAAGCATCTCAGAGGAGATCTGGGTATTTGTGTGTTTCCTCCTCCAAGTCTGATCTGTGTTCTAGTTAGTCTGGTACCGTGTTTCACTGGGCTTTGTGCTTCAGTGGAAGAGCTAGTGTCTTCCAGGAAGCTCATGTTAATCTTTTGTGTTGTTGAAAAGCACCTGTCGCTGTACACCGAGAGAGAGGCATATTTTGACCCCAGACTGAATGTTGCCTGTTTACACTGTCAAAACCTACTGTGTAGATTCTAGGCATGGGACGATAACCGGTTTCAAGGTATACCGCGGTTTGGAAAAGTCACGGTTTCAAAACCACTCAAATTTTCCGTTATACCATTCCTGCAGTTTGCGCAGTTTTTTTTACGTGTCGTCAAAGAAGGAAAGTGCAGGACTCCCTCAGTTGTGTGCAGCGAAGAGCGTAACGGGTCACACAACCCCTCCCCTTCCGGTTGGTGCTAGCCGAAGGAGGTGAATCCCTGGAACTTTTTCCAGTCTGCCATATGGGAATTTTTCAGGTAACCATGTTCCGTACAGATGACGTTTTAGCGCTGATCGCTAAATAAATACTTCCAGGTCGTACATAAACTATATATCTGTGTCATCTTCATTTCTCCCTCTTTCACCCCCAATCAAGACAGAGACCCACCCGCCGTTTGTTTCTGTGATGAAATAAATACTATTTGGCTGGCTACCGAGGCAGATAACATGGCTAATTAACTAGCTAACGTCAACTAGTTTCCTCCCTCCCCTCACGTTACTTCACAGAGCGGGGAATAGCAGACTAAAGTCCTACATTTCTGTGATTTAGTACAATAGCCTAATTAAATTTAGCTGGTATCACGTCTATACTTTTAAGCCTCCTGCCATGGTGTACATCTGTTCAAAATCACGACATTTAAAAAACAAACAAACTGCTGGCTCTCAGGTGTTTTTGCCATTATTTGAGTGTTGCACGAATTCAATTATTTATTTTAATTATTTAGCCTGACATGTTTACTGTTACAAAATGTTCTATATTTTTCTTAAAAATAAAATATATTGTGTTCAGTGGGAAAAAAGTTGTTGTTTTTTACCCAGACATTTAAAATAACTTTAATTGCAATACCGTGAAACCATGATCTTTTTTTTTTTATCTAATGTTATCATACCGCCCATGCCTAGTAGGTTCTAATACTTTATTATTTTGAGTGTAAAACAAATGTTTAAAAAATCTGGCACTATATGTCAGAATAGATCTGTGCATTAAGTTTCGAAGTGTGAATGCAAACTAATACATCTGCCAGTTGTTCTTTGTTCTTCACAGAACTTGATTTGTTGTTTCAACCACCACAATGTATTATAGAAATATATTGCTCTTTTTGTATAATTTTTACATTTAATTTTTCATGTTTTTATATTGGTATCTGTAAGTAAATATGATATTAAATGTTTGTTTTGCATTTATTTAAAAGCAGTATGTGTTCATTATGTTTTATATTTTGTAACAAGTTTACATTTTGCAGTAAACCATTTGTATGTACTTTTTAACAATAGCTGTTTTATCCAAATCATGTTTTAAGAAAAATCTAATTTGTAATATTTTTATATTTATCAAATTTATAAAAATAAACATTTGTCAGAATGTATAAAATTTTTTAGGATATAACGTTTTATGTGTAGAACCAGCTATTTTATTTTTTGACATTTACAACTAGAATAATTACATCACATGAATATATGAATGAATTAATTGTATATCATAACACAAGTAAAACAATTATTATAGAAAAATAATTATTATTATTAATGTCATTATAGATGTTTTTATTCTAAATTGTTGAAAAAATATTTTGGATTTCATAATTTATTTGCGAAGTTCAAAACACTTTGCTCACATGACAATCAATGACTATAAGATTAATTATGCAATGAGTACTTCAAAATAAGTTACTTTCCTAGTGAACACCATTGTTTTCTTGTCAAAATGGCCACTGAAAATACTGTAGTGTACACCCCTACTGCAAATGTGAGCACGCTGGTGTAGCTGTAAGCAATAGATGAAGACTTATCCTCTTGTGTAAAATCTCCTGAAATCTTTACCAAAATGCAACACAAAGCAGCTTTGCGGCTGATGAGCTTTGAGGTAATGGCACTATAACATGGAGTATCTGTTTGTGTGTTTCAGAACTATACTGTTGAGTGTCATCTCTCTACTGAACGAACCCAACACGTTTTCTCCAGCCAACGTGGACGCCTCCGTCATGTACCGCAAATGGAGAGACAGTAAAGGAAAAGACCGGGAATATGCAGAAATCATTAGGTAACATAAACGATTGTGCAAAACTACAGAATATGACTCTTTTAAGAGTTCAGCTGTGCTAAATGTTTATTGGTTTAATGCTGGTTACATTTTAATGGCTCTATCAGAAGGCCTGGTGAGAAGCAACACTTTAGCTAATGGAAAACCATTCTATAAAGATTTCGATTTATTTTCTAGATCATCGGTGCCCTCCTGTGGTTGCATGAGTCACTGAAACACTAGTGACTGTTAAATCTCCTCTTGGCAGTTTATTGCATGTTGCAATTCATGTTTTCAACCATCTGAATTGGAAAATTTGACTTGCATCAGATTCCATCCTTTCCCTCCTTCGGGACATCAGTTGTTTATTCCTGAGCCTTGGCTTGTTAAAACCTCAGGGCAACAATGCCTAAGACAGATGAGTCTTATGGAAGCTATATGGTTAATATTTCAGCCGTATAAAGCTGCACTTTGAGCAAAGATAATGTCTTTGGGCAAAATCTGGTGCATGCTGTTGATTACCACAAACTGTAATATCAGTAAAAGCGTATGGAAAACTTGTTTACATTAATGTACTTACAATTAATTCCTAGCCTGAAGATTTGAAAGCACAAAAGTGAAGCCAAATATTCCTTTAAATCCATTGCATGTGTTTGTGTGTCTTACAGAAAACAGGTTCTGGCCACTAAAGCCGAGGCAGAGCGGGACGGAGTGAAAGTTCCCACCACCCTGGCGGAGTATTGCGTCCGCACGCGCGCCCCTGTACTGGACGAGGGATCCGACCTGTTATACGACGATTACTATGATGATGAGGACTTGGAGGACGAGGATGGCGAGGACTGTTGCTATGACGAGGACGACTCCGGAAATGAGGAGTCATGACGACATTCCCATCTTCATTCTCGTCTTCATCAGCATCACCCCGAAAGTGGAAACGTTAAGGCATGCGCCCTGCATTTACACTCACTCAGATGGCCATTTTTGTTTCCTTAATGGACTGAAATGAGAGATTACTCTTTTTTTTTTTTGTTTTAGCATTTATGTTGATTTCCCTCTGTGTCATAATTGTGCAGGCCTTCAGGCTTTTCTCAAATCTGCTGTTTTATCATTTCTTTGCTTTGTGCTTTCAGATAGCTCTGTGACAGTTACTTCAAAAAGGACAAAAAAACCCGAGTGTGACTGAATTAGGGAGTGATTCTTTGAATGAGGCTTTGTGCTGAATAATGCTGATTATGTCACTGATCTTTTGATTTTTTTTAGAGATGATCACTTTGATCACCCATGCTCACTTTTTTGGCCTTCAAGCACATCTGAGCAGCTCAGCAATAAAACATGAGTTTGGGGGCAAGCTTTAAGTTTTTGGTTTTTATTCCTCCTTCATTTGAATAATAATTACGTTAAAGGGATAGTTCACCCAAAAAATGACAATTCTGTCATTTACTCACTCTCATGTTGTTCCAAACCCGTATGACTGACTTTCTTCTTTGAAGCATAAGTTGTTTTGAGAAATGGAAGTCAGTTGTCACCAAAACTGTTCGGTTACCAACTTTCTTCATAACTAAACAAATGAGGTTGAGTAAATGACAGAATTTTCATTTTTGGGTGAACTATCTCTTTAAGAAACCCTAAGCAAAAAAAAATTTGAAGGATGATAAGTTGATATTAAAATCACTTTGCAATGTAAAAATGTAAACATTGCAAAAAAAAAAAATGCTGAGGCCTACATTCTACATTCTTAGTGTAATTTTAAATGATTGAAATTATGTATTACTTTGTTCCGAGATATAGGAGCTTTCCAGAAAATCAATCAGGCTTAATCAGGTAGGTTGGCGAGTGGATAGGCGAGGTCTTTTCTGTTAAGCTGAGTTTATTTTAATATTTTTTAAGCAATGCTGATATTCCTGTGTTGTCCTAAGTGAATCTTATTTAATCTGTTGTGGGTTTTTTTCCATCACTGAAGCATTTGTTGTTTTATTTGGGATGTAGGGTGACTTCTGGACTATTGAACGATTTTTTTTTTGCGCCGTTTCTTTTGCATTATGGCTCCATGAATTGACAGCACGCCCTACGTTGTGATGTCATGATCGAAACTTTCATTTTCCGCAGCCTGGAGGCTGGTGAGCGCTGGTGTCCGTCTCTGATTTGAATTTGATCTCATACCGACTGACTCTCAGGATCAGCCAATCTGGAAAAAGAAAAAACCTACCAACAACAAAAAGTACTTTTTTTCACACCTGCAAGCTATCCATCTTTTCCATATTGTTTTGAGGACAATTTACAACCGTATCAGGCTGAGATGCACATAAGGAGCTGATTTGTCTTTTTATTGACCTGTATGTATTTTTACGGTTTGTTGGCCTATTTAAAACTGAATAAAGATCTTTATTAGAATATTTCTCTTTTTTTTCTTTTTTAAAAAATCTAACTACACTGAAAAAATGGTGTATGATTTAAAACAATTCACACTCTGAAATTATTTAATATAATAAATAATATAATATTAATATATGCTTCACCGTGTGGGATGTCGGCGGTCAGGACAAGATTCGTCCTCTTTGGAGACACTATTTTCAGAACTACATCTAACTACACTGAAAAAATGGTGTATGATTTAAAACAATTCACACTGAAATTATTTAATGTAATAAATAATATAATATTAATATATGCTTCACCGTGTGGGATGTCGGCGGTCAGGGCAAGATTCGTCCTCTTTGGAGACACTATTTTCAGAACTAACTTAATTAACTCACAAAATTTTAACTTAAAAAAAAAAACTCACAAAATGTTCACTTTTACATATTAAAGTCACTTAGACTACTCACAGTAGACTTCTTTCACAAAACTGCACTGAGGCACAGGAGTGGATCAGAAGTTTACGTGGAAATAATAATAATTTCCACAAATAATTACTAACTACTAAGTGACAAGTTACACATTACATCTTTATGATCAAACTAAAGGAAGCAAATGTAGTCGGTCTTACAAAATTTTCTTTTGCATAACTGTTCTCAGGGGTTTCAATTCAATCATTAAAATAGACGAAAGAAGAATTTAATTTTAAAATGTTCGAGTTAATTTGAAATTCTCACTTTTTTTTATTATCTTGTCAAATCTGAGTACAGTGCAAGACACTGAGATCTAGAAATCTCTAGAGGAGACATTTAAACTTACTGGGTTTTTCTTTTTCTCAAAGCAAAGTCTCCTTTTGCTCACTAATTAATCTCTTTGCTGTCACGGAATCAGTTGAGAGATTACAGAGATCTCATTTGTTATTTATCTTTCCTGTTGCACATGTCATTTTTCAGGGAGTGTGGACACGAGAGAGTTTGATTTCAATGCACAGCTGAATATGACATTGGTTAGCAGATAAGATGTTCAGCACAGCCGAAGTGTGCAGGGTTTCCAGGCATTCCAGAGTGCAGTTGGCCCGACTCTGTTGCCATGACAACCCTCCGACTGGCATTCAGGGTTTGCCTGGAAACACTCTGCTCACGGCTTATTCAGACAATCTGAGCTCGCAGGCTACAAAATGAACACGCAGAGATGAGGGGCGCCAGTGAGATGCAGTTACAGCGCTGATGCCGTTTACAGAGCAAAGGTTCACTGTAATCTGCCTGAGAGTGTTTGGAGAGACAACTGGTGGTTTTAAACGGCTCTAACACTGTAAGAATGAAAAAGAAGGCATGTTTCTAATATTGGTACATTATGGCGAATAATCACTTAAAGGGACAGTCCACTCAAAAAGGAAAAATGTCATTTACTCACCCTCATGTTGTTCCAAAACAGAATGTTTTTTTTTTCTTTTGTTGAACACAAAAGCAGGTATTTTTAGGAATGTTGGTAGCCAAACAGTTGATGTAGCCATTGACTTACATAGTGTGGAAAGTCAATGCCTACCGTCAACTCTGGTTACCAACATTAGGGCTGTCAAAATGACTGAAAAACTAAATTCGAATTTTCCACTTAAATATTATCAAAATTCGAATTATATTCGAATTTAAAAGGCATAAGGGCCTTTCGCACCGCTGTAGTTCCAGAACTAAATGTACAGTACTAAAGTACTGGGACGATTTTGCGCGAACTATTTCCCAGTACCATTTAAAGGGTTGCATTCGCACCGACAGTGTGTACTAAGAAGAGACGCAAGCCGGTCGACAGCGTCG